AATAAATTTTGTTAAAAATAGCTTTAAATACTAATTAAAAATATGTTAATTATAAAAAACTAGATGTTGAAAAAATTATAATTGCTGCAGTGGTAAGTTTTAGTGCAATGAGTAGAATTTGATTTCCAAAATAGAGACACTTGAATATAATCTAGATATTTGGTTTTGGTTTGCAACAATATAAACTTTGATTTTTTTCAGATATTTTAGCAAGCAATACAGATCAAGTTTTACGCTGGTAATACGCATATTGCACATAGAAACTCTAGTCTTGAATTCCCCCCCCCCCCATCTTCAAACATTAAAAAAACTTTTAAAGTTTAAAAACTTAAAGTGTAAAGTTCAATTTTTTTTTGGTAAAAAATATATGTTGACCAAATTGTAAACTTGCCGGACAATCTAATATTTTTTATAAGAATCTAATATAATCTTCTTGTTCACAAAGGAATTGAGTTTTTGCAACAAACTCTGATTTTCTAGTCCTTGTATTGTTCAAACCAAATGTCGTAGACCTCAGATATTTCAAACTATGACTTATGTTAGCTCAATCTAAGTTTGAAATATCAAATGTGTACAACATCAGGTCGCTAAGATATTGGAATTCGAAAATTTAATTTTGTTACTAAAACTCAATTCCTTTTAAAACCAACAACTTTTTAAAATCTACAAATCCAAAAAAATACCTTAAAGGGACTGTAAGCGTAATTTCAAATGACCCTAAACGAAAAGACGGCGATGTCCGATTAACAACAGCACCATTGAAAGATTTTTTTAATAGGATTTCCATGTACAAAAACTTTTAATTCAATTTTAGAAAAGTTAAACCAAATTTTATTTAAATTAGTCTTTAATGCTAACAAAAAAAACGTATTAATTATGATAAAAGTAGGATTTTTTCCATTTCTATTGGAAACAAACTCTGATGTTCTAATCCCTTTATCTTTGCAACACAATGTCATAGACCTTTAGATACATTAAACTATTAATTCTTTAGATTAAAAATCAAAGGTTTACACGGATATATGGATTAGAAAATTTGAGTTTGAGGCAATAAATCTCAAAGTTTCTTGAAACATTAAGCACTAGCTAATTAATCTTTATTATTTTATATCTTTGATTACCAGCTGATTAATCTTTTTTATTTTATATCTTTAATTACCAGCTGATTAATCTTTATTATTTTATATCTTTGATTTTTAGTATAATCCTCACAATTTGTATGATTCATTTGATGTCCAAAAGAACAGAAAATAATTAAAATATTTGGCTTTGGCAGCAACAAGATAAACTTTGAATTTGTTCAGATAAGTTAGCCAGATATGCAGATCAAGTTAGCCAGCTATACAGATCAAGTTAGCCAGCTATACAGATCAAGTTTTTGCGCAATTAAGTTGCATATTGAAAATGGAAACCCTAGTCTTCAGTCAACTTTTTCCCCCTCCCCCCATTTTCCAAACAAAACTCGTCTAAAAACTAAAAGTGTAAAGTTCAATTTTCTTTGTACTGAAATATTTGTTAAAAGTTGTCAAATCAAATATTTTTTTAAAAATCCAATTTGTCCAAACTTTAAGTTCGCAAAATATAGAACCAACAACTTTTAAAAATCTAATACAAACCATGAAAAAACCTTCTTTAACCAGGAGGAATTTGAATATTTGTATTAAAAATAATGTCTGCAAAGTTTTAAAAATTTGAGATTAGACGGCTAAAAACAGTTAATGACCTTATATTGTACACCTTAGATATTTTAAACTGTAAATTCCTTAGAATAAAAAATCTACTTTTGAAATATCAAAGGTTTACACAGATACATGGATTGGAAAATTTGAGTTTGTGGCAATGACTCAATTCCTTTAAGTTTAGACGACTAATTAGATTTACTGATAAATCTCAAACTTTCTTTTAAACATTAAATACCCCCCCCCCCAACACACCTTCCCCTTCCTTGAAGTTGTCTCCCTATATAACGACCCCCCCCCCAAACACACCTTCCCCTTCCTTGAAGTTGTCTCCCTATGTAACAACAACAACCCCCATTATAAAAATGTTGATTCCAACAGCTCCATGTCCTATGATAAACTACCCGGTTACAGGTGTTTACCGGCCTCAAAGCAGCCTCAAAAACCGAGGTCTCGAGGCCTCAAAATACCTCGGTAAAACATTCCCCGGCCACCTTGTAATAGAGTCAGGGTATTATTAGCACAGTTCGGGTTTAAAGAGACTGATGGAGAAAAAAAATGTCGACATTTGTCTTATATTTTATGTTTACAATATTATATGATGATTGATGTAACTGTTGCTCTGAAAGTTGGCTATTTTTCAATATTCATAAATTTTGGCGGATTTTTCTATTCAGATTTGCGTAATTTCAAAAATGAAATAAACTTTTTTTTCTAGGCCTTTTTTAAAGTTTGATGGTCCATAAACGTTCCTGGGGGTCATGTGAGGTCACAAACCATATTTTGGGCCCATCCAGTTAAGCCGTTTGTTTGATAAACAACCAGACACAAACCCAGATATTTATATATATAGATATGTCTAATGCTGGACCAATTGGTTGAATTTGTTTGTTAAAGAAACCCATGGGTACCCTGGGGGTATCAGGCAAAGAAATATTTTTTTAAGCCTTGCTACGCCGGGTAGTCCAGTTTAACCCTATCCCTGCTGGGGTACTTGAAAACCAGGATATGCTGGGGGGGGGCAATTTGACCCCCCCCCTCTAAATCCCATGTTTTATGTTCAAATATGACAAATGATACATCATTAGAAAGCTCTTGTGCTCTACTTTTAGAATCTGCAAAAAAAATTTCAAATTTGCAAAAATTGAATTTTTTATCGCAAAATCCAGTTATATAGAAAAAATGTTTGCAAAAAAAAATTTGTCCAAAAAATGACAAATTATACACTTTTGAAAAGCCCTTGACCATGCCATTTCAAATATGAAAAAATGTTGGCAAAATTTTAAAAACCTGAATTTTAATCAAGAAAAACTAAAAATGTGCAAATTTCCTTTGACAGGTTGTTTGCAAAAAATTTGCAATTTTTTTTCGCAAAACTTGTGCAATCCGTTTCCTTATGTCATAGGCTTTCCATAAAGCTAAATTTTATCAAAATCTGACAAGTGAAAGTGGGTCAAAACAAAGATTTAGTTTGTTACAGGCAAAAGCAGTCATTCAGGCAGTGTGCCTGAGGACTCAGGCAGTTAGTATTAAAGCCCGGTTTTAGGCCTAAAGGGAGGGCTTTGGGTATGTAAGAAAAGTCAGAAAATTTCAACAGCCTCAGACCAATACTTTTTGAGTTATGTAAAAAAACTACAGGGGGGGGGGATAAGATATTCTTACACATTTTGGGTAAACCTGTATAGTGTATAATTCTCCTTTAGCTTTGTCCAGGGATGATTTTTTAAGATCTGGGGTAAAAAAGCAAAAAATTGGAGATGAAAAGGTAAATTTTTTCATTCTTTGAAAACAACCTTTTTTCCCATTTCAGCGAAAAAACTCTTTAAAGCTTACCTAACTTCTAGGGGAAAAAATATTTTCAAAAAAAAGGGGGAATGATTTTTGGGGGAAATATACACCCCTGGTTTTTTCTAGAATATCCATGTTTCACTTCAGAGAGGTATACATTTCAGTATAATACCACATCAGTTCTTTTTACAGTACAAACTCAATATAGAAAATATACATAATTTACATAAATTTGTCATCGAATATTAGAAAACTTTTTATGTAAGCTTGCAATACAGTACAAATTCATAATAGAAAATAAATATGATTTACATAATTTTTCAGCCTCTTCTCTCTAATACTTACAGTAAGAACCAGAAAACTTTGGAAGATAAAGCCGACTTTATGATTTTAAAAAGTCTTATGATAACTTTAGTTCAATTCTAATTCATAAATTGAGAAATATATTTCCAACATAATTAAAATTTCAACTCAAACTAGATGGAAATTAAAATGAAATGTTTTTCACATTGTAGACAAGATAAAAGCATATACCTCTTTATATGTTTCTTTTAATAATTGGTTTTAACGGGAAACATTTCGAAAGATGATCTGACGCAGAATATCTTCTGGGGTAGTTAGCCTTCCTAGCTACGTACATCCTTGAAATCATCTCTGGATTGTTCAGTAGATCGACCCATCTAGCATCCCGGAACAAAAGCTTATGGCTTATTACTATAGTAATTTATATTTGAATGCTGTTTTTATTAAACCGTCAGTTGTTGCTCTCAGTATTTTAATTACCTAGAATAATTAGGTTTTCATTGAGGTTGTTTTAAAAGAATTTAAAAATGTCAAACTGAATATTACCGTTTGAAAAAACTAGAAATTATTACTTGTTTTAAAACCCAATTTTTAAACTAATCAATATTTTAAGGAAAAATATCAGGTAAAAGTTGCAATTACATATATAACTAAATAACATTAATGAAATTAGGACTTACACCAATAATAAAGTACCAAATTTAATTATTACCTTTAAAAATTCTGTAAATTTAAAAAAGTTTTGTCAAAAATATCTTTCAGCGGATTCTTTGGACGACAAAATTGTGTTACTTCTTGGATGTTACTTTTAAAACGTAGTCCTTAAAAGGTTTAGTTGCAACTACGGTTCTATTAGAGGGAAAGTAAGCGTAATTTCCCTTAAACCCTTTATCTTATCATTACTGCTGAAGATATTGTTGTTTTTCTATCTAGTTTGTAAAACATTAAATTCTGGTAGTTCTTGTATGTTTCCCTGCAGCACAACTGCGCTAGTCAATTTTCTACAGTTATCCCACTTAACAATAATCAGTTTTCAAAATGATAAACATTGATATCTAATTCATGCTTAATCAGACAAAGCTCTTAAAGAGCACCGTTGTGAATCGGGCATTGCCATCTTTGCATGCATGGAGGGTTTGCATTTGAAATTACAGTCTCTTTAAGCCTGAACTATAAAAGTACAAACAAATATAATGACAACGAAATAGTCCTCAGTTAATGACAATAAAATTTTTATTTTAAATATTTATTTCGAAATCAAAGATAACAAATCAAAGCTAAAGCTTATTAAAACAATGCAAAATTATTATTAATAGTGTAAGCAAGGAAAATGTGAGACATACTTCAAATTAAAGTTTTAATTTTGGAAATATTATTTTATAATTTATCCACATGCAGGGTTACCCACAAAGGATGAGACTTCAGAGACGATTGTACGGAATTTATTTAATCTCTTTTCTCATCTCTATGTTTCACTAAATTTTTAACTTCACAAGGTCAGACCTTACAGAGTTTCGTGTCGTTCTTAAAATCTCCTTCTTTGTGGGTAACCCTGTATTGTATCAAATAAATGCATACCATGGTATCCACAAAGAAGAAGACTGTAAAGACGACTTAAACTTCTTCAAATATTATAATTAATTCTTCTACCTTGCTTTTTGCCTTTAAATGGCTTTTTCAATGATTTGGAAAAGAAAAAAATAAGTTTACAGTTGCAAGGAATCTTAAATATAAGAAAACAGACTGTAGCAATTCCGTACAACAGTTGTCTCTGAAGTCTCATCCTTTGTGGGTAAACCTTCTATAATAACATGTTTTTAAAGCCAAAATGTAAATACCTTATTGCAAGCATAGTTCAAAATTTAATCAGTAAAATTGTGCTGTACTGGGTTATGCATAATTAATAGGCTTAGATTATTTTTATACAATTCAATTTTCACAATTTTTAGAAAAGAATCATTGCGGAATTCTAGCGTTAAGAAAACAATAACAATTCTACATAAATTTATTTGATGTAAAGGAACTGATTACTCGCCACATAATCTAATTGAATAATCTCTATAAAGGAAAAATGGTGTTTAGTAAATTTGTGAAGTTTAGTAAATTTGTGCAGTTTAGTAAATTTGTGCAGTTTAGTAAATTTGTGCAGTTTAGTAGATTTGTGCAGTTTAGAGAAGTTGTGCAGTTTAGATAAGTTGTGCAGTTTAGTTAAGTTGTGCAGTTTAGTAAATGTGTGCAGTTCAGAGAAGTTGTGCAGTTTAGTAAATGTGTGCAATTCAGAGAAGTTGTGCAGTTTAGTAAATTTGTGCAGTTTAGAGAAGTTGTGCAGTTTAGTTAAGTTGTGCAGTTCAGAGAAGTTGTGCAGTTTAGTTAAGTTGTGCAGTTCAGAGAAGTTGTGCAGTTTAGTTAAGTTGTGCAGTTCAGAGAAGTTGTGCAGTTTAGTAAATTTGTGCAGTTCAGAGAAGTTGTGCAATGAAAACAATTTTAAATTATTGAAAGCAAAAGTAATTTAATATTGCAATAAAAACAGATTTAAAGGGACTCTGCATGCTCTTTACAAAGGTATTTAAATTCTAAAGAATGCGATATCGCCATTTTTCTAGCTTGTAAAGGGTTTAATACTAAATATGTCATCGCTTATTTCTGAAGCAAGTCACACAGTGAAATCTTGGATATCACATTCATGCTTGATCTTTTAATAATGTACTCTATTTTAAATCGGAAGTGCACCTCTAAATATGGAGGGTTAAATGAAGTTACATCTACAATTCTTTTAAGATGTTTATAAGTTAGTTAAAGTGGCTTTGTGCAATAAACCGAAACACTAGGCATGGATTTCACAGTTTGTTAGGCACGGTGAACACAGTCCTGTCAAGTTTGTATACTTTTAGAAAATTGTTATAAACAGCGAACATAAAGTTAGTTCTCCCAGATTTTTTTAATTTTAAGGAACAAAGCAGCAGGCTTTAATTCTCTTCCAGAATAGTCATACAAGGGGGCTTTCCTGTATCCTGAATATAGCAATCAATCAATCAATCAATCAATCAAAAACAATGTAAATAAAAAATCTATTATAAGAATTACTTTATCGATTCATGCATCATTAAACTATCAATTAATCAAATTACTTAATTAATCAAATTATCAAATTAATCAAAGCATAAATCAAACAATTAATCGATCCATCAAGTATTAATTAAAAATTTGATCAATCCACCAATTATTCAATACCCCAATCTAATAATTATCAATCGTTTGAGCATTAAATGGTAAACATTCGAACATTTATCAGATACATTAGTTCATAAATTCATCAATCGATCAATAGATCAATCGATCAATCGATCAATAGATCAATCGATCAATCGATCAATAGATCAATAGATCAATCGATTAATAAATCAATCGATCAATCGATCAGTCCCTACCTTCTTGAATGTATTGGAGAGGAAGAGCGAATGATCCAATGTGTTGATCTTTGTTACTCTTAGAGTGATCTTTCACCTAATCAAAAAAATAACAAAACTTTCAGGGTGTCCATCTATCTATCTATCTATCTATTTATCTATTACAGGGTGTCCCAAAAATAAATGAAACACTTTCCATGACATTTGTTCGTAGCTCTTATAATAAATTCAACTTATATCTTTTCATGAGAAGATATGGCTGTCTATACAAACTTGTTTTATTCTTTTTAATTAGATATATTAAAATCATGAGAAGATATGGCTGTCTATACAAACTTGTTTCATTCTTTTTTATTAGATATATAAAACACGAAAATTATAAACTAGTGAAAGATGGAGTAGCTAAAAAATGTTAAAGTTTAATTAAAAATGTTATTTGATTTTGCACAAAAAATGCTAGTTCGTCCTTCTGAGCTTATAGTTTAGATTATTAAAATTTGTTCCCAAGATTTATTCAAAAATTTATTATTTGCATTATTTGTAAATAAGTCTTCGAAAACAAATTAAAAGGACTGTGTTTGAATTTAATGGATTTAAGCCACGGCTCAAATTTCCCGAAACCGGTTTCAATTGAGGGCAGGCTTAAATCTTGAAAAATTGAATACAATTTTAAGTGGAACCAACCATATTTTAGCCGCGGCGTAAATTTTAAGCCGCGGCTCAAATTCTTTGATTCAGGTATTCTTATTTCAAGTGGAGATCAGAAAATTCTTAATTTTCAACCGTGAGATCTAAGGACTCAATACAAAGAATGAGATGTTCAAAATTGATCAATTTTCAAGTTGAAAAATATTTTTATATTAAACGTATAAAAAGTAGCATTGAAAATGAAGCATGCGCCATTTGAAATCGGCTTGACAGTCCCTATTAAAATCCTCCAATGTTACCATTGTTCTTGACATGCTTGGTTTCCACCTTGTTTTCCTCGTTCAAGAAATCATCATTATGGCCCCGGATCCGGACCTAGAACAGTTCTCAATGTTATCAAACAGTGGTCAGGAAATATAATTAAATCAATACAACGAAGACGACTTTTCATTAATAATGCTTTTGTCACTGACAAGCATTTATCACAGAACAAGTTTACAAGTAAACAAAGAGATCAGGGGCGTATTCAGGAATTTGTCCAGGGGGGGGGCTCAGCACCCGTTGGGGCATGAAAACCCCCTGAAATCAATAGATTTCATTGGCCCAGGGGGGGGGGCTTAGCCCCAAAAGCCCCCCCCTGAATACGCCTCGACTGAAAGAGATGCTGTTTTTTGACAACTTCTCTTTGTTTAGATGATTATGTGTCTCTAAGGTTTAAAATAGAAATAGAAAGGTCGTCTACACTGTATTATTATATACGACGACTACTGTATTATAAAAGTTTATTCAATTATAAAGATATACAAACATAATTAGTTTAAGAATTGAGTTTTTGGCACAAACTACAATTTACTAATCCCTATATCTCTGCAACTGGACGGAGTAAATCTTCCATGTATCAACCTTAGATTAGTTGATATATCATAATCCAGTTTAAAAAGTAAAAGATCTTCGACATTGGGTTGCAAAGATAAAGGAAAAAGAAAATTTGAATTTGTGACTAATTAACTACCTAATAAGGGCAATTGACTTCATATTGACCACGAACTCCATTGATTCCTATTTACCTTAACATCAGGGTCAATGACCTCTTATTAGGATAATTGAATATAACCTCCATTGATTACTAATTACTTCAACATATGGGTTAATGGCCTCTTATTAGAATAATTGACCTCCTTTTATCACTGCTTGCCTCAACATAAGGGGCAATGACCTCCTATTAGGATAATTGTCCATGACCCCCTTTGATTACTATTTACCTCATCATATGGGTCAATGACCTCCAATCAGGATAATTGACCATGGCCCCCTTTGATTACTATTTACCTCAACATATGGATCAATGACCTCCAATTAGGATAATTGACCTTCTTTATCAATGACCTCTTAATAGGATGATTGACCATTACCTCCTTTGATTAATATTTACCTCAACATAAGGGTCAATGACCTCCCCCTCATCTGCTCCCTGAGGTCTAGGTATATGTTGACCGGAAACTATCTCAAGACTCAAGGTCATTCCGGGAAACCTTCAATTTAAGATTAAAGGGACTGTCAGCTTAATTTCAAGTAAATCATGCAAGGATGACAATGTCCGATTCACAACGGTCAACGGTAGCCTTTATAGCTTTGTCTGATTATGTATGATTATGATATCAATGTTAATAATTTTGATCTTTGCATGGATGTTCAATTGAAATACGCTAGTTCCAGCAATGTAAAATTATATTAATGATAATCGAAGTAAACCCTTCTCCTTCAGATTAGATCCTTTGTGGGTAACCTTGTATGTCACACATTTGTTTCATCCTCCATGTGAGTCATGAATGTGTGCATCTTAATGTGCGTCATAAACGTGTGTCCTTAATGTCCGTCCTCAATGTGCGTCCTATTTTCTGTCATCAATGTATTTCTGACCATGGTGCGTCCTCGTTGTTAGTGCTTTTTAATATTGATGCGTTCTTTTTTGCAATAGAAAATGTTGATGAACGATTTGAATGATGTAAATTATTTCTAGTAAAGATTATTTAGTGATGCTACTTACTTTGCCTTACTCAGGCCATTAAGTTTGTATGGATTGTAGTGGATTGAGGGATTCCTGAAAAGAACAAATAAATAACATTTTTAAAATTGTTTTTTTAAAAAAAGGATTCTGACTTATGCCCATTAGACCTTATGTCCTTTATTCAGTGATCTTTACCAATAAAAAATCTGGATTTTTAAAACTCTAAATTCTGGCATTTGATCTAGCATATGTGAGCTTTGGCCTTTGAGCTCCAGCAAATAACTTTAACCTTTAAACCACAGACCTTTTCCCTTTGACCGAAGAAACTTTGACTTCGAGCCTTTGAGATCTGCTCTTTGACCTCACCTAAGAAACTCTAACCTTAAACCACTAACCTCTGCCATTTGACCTCAACATACTATATATTGACCTTGGACCTCACTTAGAAACTCCGACCTTAAACTGAACTCCGACCTTTGACATCACCTAAGAAACTCTGACCTTAAACTGACATTTAACCATTGACCTCACCTAAGGAACTCTGACCTTAAACTGACCTCTGATCTTTGACATCACCTAAGAAACTCTGACCTTAAACTGACCTCTGACCTTTGACCTCACCTAAGGAACTCTGGTTTCAGAATGTATCCGCAGCCTCCGTTGCCCATGAAGAGAGCACGGTTTAACAAGTTTTGTTTATCATCCGTCTGATAGTTGAGAGCCACTTAACAAATTTTAGCAGTGCAATCTTTCTAGTTTTGCATATTTTAACAGTGCAATATTTATAATTTTTTCATGTTTTCATAGTGCAATATTTCTAGTTTATCATATTTTAACAGTGCAATATTTCAAGTTTTTCATATTTTAACAGTTTATCTAATCTTACTAATTTTTCATATTAACAGTGTAATCTTTTAAACTTGGATATGAACAGTTAATTTTTTTTAAAATTTTCAATTTAAAAGTGCATTCTTTTAAAATTCAATTTTTTATTTTAAATTTGGAAAATTATAATAATTACCTATCTGGCATCCGGCAGCCCAGTACGGGATAACCTTTAGGTTAGACGAGTCCTGTCTTTTAGCACCGGGATATATTCTAGATAGATAGATAGATAGATAGATAGATAGGTGGATAGATGGATAGATGGATAGATGGATAGATGGATAGATGGATAGATGGATAGATGGATAGATGGATAGATAGATAGATAGATAGATAGATAGATAGAAAGATGGATAGATAGATAGTTAGATAGATAGATAGATAGATTAATAGATAAATAGATTAAAAAGACTAATTGAACACTACCTGCTTATTTGCCGCGTGTTATATTTAACAAATTGGCGTGCAGTGTCCGGATCTTCAATCAGCTTTGTCGTCTTCGATTCTCCAAAGGAGGACATGTGGAAATACTTGGCATCTTAAATCAATCAATCAATTAATTTATGGTTTTAAAAATTAAACAATTCACTGATTAACCAAAATCCCACGACTTGAATATTTTATCCCTCCTCCCCTCCCCCCGGGAGTAAAATTAAAAAATGTTACCTCTAAAGGAAAGTTTTTTCATTCTTTTTAATACTTTAAACCCAAAAATACATTAATTTCCCCAAATTTAGTGAATAAAGTGTTAAAAAAATGTGCTGCTCCGTGCAAACATATTTAACTTCTGGGAGAACAACTGAGTTTCCGATTTTCCGATATATTTGTTTTACTTATACCTTTATCATCGAACCCATTGAAATGCACAGCATGGATGTAGTTTACAAGATCAGACAACTTCTTTGAAATCTTCTTCTTCATTTTCTTATTCTTCTCATCGTCATGATCATCATCTTCATCCTCGATCTCATCGTCTTCTGATACACCAGCAGGAAGCCTCTTAGCTTTGATCAGAACCTAAACATTTAACATGTATGCAGGAAACATTTTAACCGACTCTATGTACCGATGGCGAAGATGTTGGGTAAATAATTCTAGACTTTTGATATTCGACATCGGCATATTGGATAATAAATGTTTGCAGAATTAATCAATTTAATAGTTCCAGGGTTACTAACAAATCATGAGACTTTAAAGACGACCTGAAACTTTTGAATTGTGAAGATCTATAGGTTAAATTAGATAGGTAAGAGGTTTTTAAAATAAATAATTTAAATTATGCAAGGAACCATCAATGCAAGAAAAAAGGATTATAAAATTTCATACAATCGTCTCTGAAGTCTCATTCTTTTAGGGTAACCCTGTATATCAAGACACACTTTCAAATAAAGTAGTTTAAAATACATGTTGCCGTTTCAAAAATGTTGAATTCGCAAACCTTGTTAATCAGCTGGTGCGGTGAAGGAAGGTGGTCAATGTCGTCTTCTGGTGCATCTTTATGCAGCAAATCTCCCAATATTTTCACAAGATAGTCCGCCATTTTCTAAATATTTTAATTTCATTTATTTTATTATAAATATTTACAGTTAAAAAGAGTATAACAGATAATCACATATTTTTAAGCATGATTTTTAAAGCTATAGATAAAAATAAAAAATGCATCTTGCATATTAATTTGCCTATTTATAAAAATGTTTTACCAAAATATCATCCATTTTCCAAAAAAGTACCATTTTATAACCAGTTTTTAAGATATAGAATTTAGAACTCATGGTTTAGTTGGCTAATATTTGTCTATCTAATTTAATTTACATTTTAATTATTTAATATTTAAATCCAGTTTCCCAATTACCTCTTGCTGTTCTAAGCCACAGTGGTTTTCAATGGAGAGAATTAGTGGATAATGAGACCTAAACAAAGTTTAAAAAGGTAAATACAATTAAAAACTTAAATTTCTTCTTTTTCTTTATGTTCGGTCCTCAGGCTATATATATATTATAGAACAGACGGTGGCTGCATATGGTTTAGGAAGTTTTGGACTGTTAAGAATAATTATGCAGTACAATACATAAATGTCCAGATGTTTAGTAATCTTGGGATTTTGAAGATTCACTTTTCAAACTTTCTCTCAAGGTTTTTAATAAAACGCATAAGTAAATTCTTGTAATCTTGTTGTCTTTCCTTTAATATAAAAAATATGTATTTTTAAAACTGTTTCAAATAGGTCTCTTCCTTACAAAATGCGAAACAGAAAACCAGAACATAATGTGAATTCTCCGCCCCTCCCCCCGGGTCCCAGCAATGCCGAACTGTGTAACCTCAAACAATTACCTACCATAAAATACAAAAAATACATGTTTACACATTGAGATGGCCATAGCACTTGGTCAACAAGCCTTTTCTGCATTCAGCCCAGAAATTGCACTTAATTTAATACATTATCACATTAACACAATATCATACCAATACATGTACACAATATCATACCAATACATGTACACAATATCATACCAATACATGTACACAATATCATACCAATACAGGGTATTTCGCGAAACTTACCAAGCCAAATGCTGCCACCTGGTGTTCTGTACTATATATATATATTCGGAGGTTCGAACTTACAAACATTTTTTGTAGTCCTCTTTGTTAAACATATGATATGGAACTTTAATTGATAAAACTGTTAGATGCCAAAAATATTAGAAAAAAATACAAAAGTTACAAATATTTGTAACATTTGCAATAATCTCAAATTGGCCGGCCCCACTTTTTTAGTCTTATTTAATTCTCCGATTCAACTTTGTCTAAGCAAATATAATAGAGATAAACCTCGTTTTTATCTCAAAATTAATTGCTTCAAATTGCGGTTCAAGAGTTAAAGGAAGAAGAAAACATCTTTCTCACTGTTTCTCAAATAGAAATTTTAACGGTACCATTGTTAATCGAGAAGAATCTCCTTAAATAAAAGATTTACCTGACAAAACCGTAGTTTTTGACAGCCTCGACAACATCCTTAAAGAGGATACTGGTGGTGAGGGTATGTCCGTGATATATTATAGGTTCACCATCATCACCATCCCAGCAGTCCACTTAAATACACAGATAATAACACTGAGACTGAGACTGAGACTGAGACTGAGACTGAGACTGAGACTGACACTGACACTGACAATGACAATAATAATAATAATATTAATAATAACAATAATAATAATAATAATAATAATAATAATAATAACTTACACTCTACGCAGCGGCATCCAAGTTTCAGAGCATTAATATATCCATCAATACTGCTCTCTCCAGTCAGCTGGTTTCCGGTCAGATAGGTATTGTGGGACGATGCTGAACAATCAATCAATCAATTTAAGTGAGTGTCGATGTAATTTTGAATAACCATATATTAAGAACTATATCCTTTGCCAGAGCAAAACAGATAAAGATAGTCTTGATTTTCTTTGTAAAAATTGATAATTTCCATATTTCAATACTTTTATATAGGATTTTCTTTAAAAGTTACTTGTGGAGAGAAGATATAAACGGCCAGAATTTATCCTTTTTCCAGAAAAGAACAACAATAATTTCTCTTCATAGTTTGTTTACTACAGTACAATTGTACAGTTTGTTTACTACAGTACAATTGTACAGTTTGTTTACTAAAATAAATAAATAAATAGTTTATTAGGCACATGTAAATACATATAAATAAATAAATAATTATAAGATCTAAAAAGGAACCCGACATGGAACCCCCAGACCGCCCTCAGGGTGCAGAGCATCAACATGCAGTCTGCAGCCTGGAATCCATCCAGGCTATCACACAATGTTTAAAGCCCTTGTGATAGTGATACATTCCTAGTGGCTGGCAGCCTAAAGGCCAGTTGCGTATCAAGCACCACCCATAACGGTAACCCCAGTGCAGGCCCCTGGGATGAGGCCAGCCGGTCTACCTTAGCATTAGAGAGAAGAGACCTACTGGAACCAGGACTCCAACACTTGCTTGAGTGTAGCAGCTCGCTGGTTGAGTGCTTCAGCATCGACACCATCCCCACCTACATACGCCCGGAGCACCCTGGAAAGCTCCACCAAGAGTGTACGCGTCGACATAGGCCTGAAGGCCTGAGACCCTCCTGACATAGGCAGAAGCTGGGCACTCTAGGATAGCATGAGCTTCATTCAGGGCAACAGATGAACCATCCAGGAGACAGTACGGGCATAGTTTGTAAGATTTGCCAAAATCGTTAGGGCATCTATTACCGAATCCCTAATCCAACATCCCCAGCATGGACTCAGCATAGTAGCTTTGACGACTGTGAGTCAGTCACATGAGGCTGAAGTTTGAACCAGTTGGTTGACAGATGCATGTATCTCAGGGAGACGTGCTCCCGCTTTGTGGCAGTCACTGTCTGAATAGCCGCCTGGAGTAAGGTCCTTCGGACCATGGACTTTGGCTTAAGGAAAAGTCCACTCCCTGCCGGGTCCAGGTCTTGGACTGATCTTGCCTAAGGGTCCTCTCCAGACCTCATGACTGAGGCGAACACACTAGTCAAGATCGGGTCCCTTTGCTTATTAACAATCGTCCTACGTACAGGCCAATTCGCTCCTTGATCCGGTCACCCATGGGTTTCAGGCCAGTGTCAACAAATCCAACAACGCCTGACGAGGATTATGGGAGCTGGAGAATGAACCTGGCCACCTGACCTTGGATTCGCTCCAGGGCCCTCACTGTTGTGGCTGAGATGATCATGGCCTCAGTACCGTACAAGACTGCAGGGATGGCGCAGCACTCCCAAAGTTTATGTGCTATTATGGCTCTATCCAGACCTGACTGGGTTAGCCCAATTATGGTATGAGCATAAGATCTTGCCACTGTTAACATCCTCTCCTCCCTAGCCTTAACCAAGTTCCGTCCTTTCACTTGGATATCAACCCCCATGTACTTCCCGACCAGGAGAGCCTCGAGCTCCAGTTTATCCTCTGAGGCCAACCACGAGGAGTTGTTGGGCCCAGGGGTCAGAATGATGGTTTTGCTGACCGCCAGCTTCATGTGCATGCCAGCACAAAAGCGCTGAACTACCCGGAACAAGCGCTCCATACCCCATCGTCTTGTTCGGGAGATCAGGATGAGGTCATCAGCCAAAAATAACGCTGATATTATTACCTATCCAGTAGTGGGACAATGGTATACTACCTATCCAGTACTGGGACAATAGTATATTACCTATCCAGTAGTGGGACAACGGTATACTACCTATTCAGTAGTGGGACAATGGTATACTACCTATCCAGTAGTGGGACAATGGTATACTACCTATCCAGTAGTGGGACAATGGTATACTACCTATCTAGTAGTGGGCCAATGGTATACTACCTATCTAGTATTGGGACAATGGTATATTACCTATCCAATAGTGGGACAATGGTATATTACCTATCCAGTAGTGGGACAATGGTATATTACCTATCCAGTAGTGGGACAATGGTATATTACCTATCCAGTAGTGGGACAATGGTATATTACCTATCCAGTAGTAGGACAATGGTATATTACCTATCCAGTAGTGGGACAATGGTATATTACCTATCCAGTAGTGGGACAATGGTATATTACCTATCCAGTAATGGGACAATGGTGTCACCTATCCAGTAGTGGGACAATGGTATATTACCTATCCAGTAGTGGGACAATGGTTGTGACATATCGTCCCTAACCTGCTTCCTCTCTACAGGGTCCATCACATCCTTTAATAAAAGATTATAATAATACTTAAAGGGACTGTCAGCGTAATTTCCAGTGACTCTTCATGTTATAATTGCAATGCCTAATTCACAACAGTATCCTCTAAAGCTATGTCTGATCAAGTATGAATTAGATATCAATGTTTATAATTTCCAGTGACCCTTCATGTTATAATTGCAATGCCTAATTCACAACAGTATCCTTTAAAGCTATGTCTGATCAAGTATGAATTAGATATCAATGTTTATAATTTCCAGTGACTCTTCATGTTATAATTGCAATGCCTAATTCACAACAGTATCCTTTAAAGCTATATCTGATCAAGTATCAATTAGATATCAATCTATATAATTTTGGACACCGATTATTTTCAATTGAAGTTTCTGAATAAAAGTGGCTTGCGCATTTCTACTGCAGGAATAAATATAGAAATTAAACCTAGAATCAATAGAAAAACGACAATTTCTTTGACATTATTTATCAGGTTCAGGTTTTAAGGGTAACTTAATGAATTGGGCAATGCCACCTTTGCATAGAGAGTCAAATGAAATTTCGCTTACAGTCCCTTTAATATTTTATTATTTAATTCTTTTAATTATTTTATTTACAAAACCATTTTACACAGCGATTCTTTTTTACTTTAATAAAACAAAATCTGTAGATAACAGTTAACAGATATGTAGATAACAGCTAACAGATTTGTAGATAACAGCGAACAGATTTGTAGATAGCAGCTAACAGACTTGTATGCTAAAACTAACAAAAATCACCTGTAGTTCTGAGAACATAAGAAACTGAAGAAATCCTTGTTTAGAAAATCTAGTTTTATCCTCGTCAATCTCATGATTCCTAAACATTATTTCAATATTATTTTCTCCTCATTAATCTCATAATTCCTAAACATCATATGATTATTTCTATATTATTTTCTCCTCGTTAATCTCATGATTCATATTATTTCAATATTATTTTCTCCTCATTAATCTCGTGATTCCTAAACATTATTTCAATGTTATTTTCTCCTCATTAATCTCATGATCCCTAAACATTATATGATTATTTCAATATTATTATCTCTTCATTAATCTCATGATCCCTAAACATTATTTCAATATTATTTTGATTAAACCTACAGGGTTACCCACAAAGCATGAGACTGATGGACGACCGAAAACTCTAAAAATAAGACGATTTTAAGCTCGATTTTTGATTTCTGCACTAAATTAAGTATTTTGATTGTTTACTAGATGATTGAGCACAGAAAGAAGTTTAAGCCTACAAGGAACCCTGAATGCAAGAAAATCGGCTAAACAAATTCCGTACAATCGTCTCTGAAGTCTCATCATTTTTGGGTAACCCTGTATATTCCCCTCCACCCCCCTTCCTTTAACCCCAACCAAACCCCCCCTTCCACCCTCAACCCTTCCCTAAACCCAACCATCATGTTTACAAATATAGGGTTTACTACTATTTATTACACCTTCCTTAAACCCCAACAATCCCCCCCCTCCCCCCTCAAGTCCCCCCCCCCCGTCCCTTTTTATTAAAATAAAAGTGTTTGCCGTTGCTTTACAAAATACATTTGAAATAAAAGGTTGCCTAGATATATCCATGAGCACTGATCACTTATCAGTCAATAAGTTTTTCTACAACAGGGCGAAAAAGTAACTTTTTCACCCTGTTATTAAAATTTCAAATTTCATGCCTAATTTGTCTCATTGTTGAGTGATAAAGTTACTATGATAAAGTTACTTAATCACCCTACAACAGGGCGATTAAGTAGCTTTATCGACCTGCTTTTAAATAATTTGAGTTGAACTGAATAAAACTATACATGTATTTGAAACTATATATGTTATTGTAATGGGTATACGTTCGGTGTGAAAATACTTTCATTTTCATCTTAAACAATCTAGAAAAAATAAAAACCCGACAAAAACTTTTTCGCACTTAATAATACCCATTACAATGACATAAATATATATTACCTGATAATTCCAATACACTCCTCTAGGCCTAAAGGCATTTTTTGCTTCTCATTAAAGAACTCCAACAGTTTGCCAGGGGTCATAAAAGAACCCTAACAAGAAATATTTAATGAAAAATATAAATATTTTAAAAGATTGTAATTAATTTGTTATCCTAATTCCACTGCTGAAAACGAAAAAAAATTGAAATTCCAATTTTTTATTGCACTGAAAAAAGACAATTTGATTTTAATAATCATCCGGTTACCTTTAAATCATGTTAAAAAAATCCTATTACACAGATAAAATTTTTTAGGAAAGTTTTGAATGAGCTGATCCTAATTACACTAATAAAATGTAGAAAAGTTTTGAATGAGCTGATCCTTATTTCACTGATAATATGTAGAAAAGTTTGGAATCAGCTGATCCTAATTACACTGATAAAATATAGGAAAGTTTGGAATCAGCTGATCCTTATTATACTGATAAAATGTAGAAAAGTTTGGAATCAGCTGATCCTAATTACACTGATAAAATGTGGAAGAAAAGTTTTGAATCAGCTTATCTTAATGACACTAATAAAATGTAGGAAAGTTTTGAATCAGCTGATACTTATCACACTGATAAAATGTAGGAAAGCTGATTCTAATTACATTAATAAAATGTAGGAAAGTTATTAATCATCTGATCCTAATTACACTGATAAAAATGTTCCAGGATCCCAAATGATTAGCATCACAGTGAAATTATTGGGACAAACCTTTTCTGTTGTTTCTGAAAATTTCTGAAAAATTTCATCTATATCCGGTCTTGTCATCAGTTTAAAGTAGAAACTTAGAAACTCATCCTCGTTCAAAACCTAAACAGAGTGATAGAAGGATCTAGTAGTAGCGATAGTAGGGACCTTTTTCTAGTGTTAGAGAACTTCTACTAAAGGGGGTTGGGGACCTTTTCAGGGTTTTAGAGACCTTCTTGTGGTGTTAGGCCCCTTCTCAGGGGGACCTTCTTGTGGTGTAAGGGACCTTCTTAAGATGTTAGGGACCTTTTTCAGGTGTAAGAGACCTTCTTAGGGTGTTAGGGACCTTCCATTGATAAACATCTCAACTCTGATGTATCAATTTTCCAAATATCAATTTAGGATAGGCCGTTTTTTATACGATTGTTTTTTAAAAAACGATCGCTTTTGAAAAAAACTATGGTTTTTTGAAAAAAAATGTTATTGACAATTATGTTAAAGATCGTTAACGAAGGGTTGTCGTTAACGATCGTTAAGGAAACGACTAACTTTATAAAAACGGTCGTTTTTGGAAAAACATTCGTTTTAAAAACGACCATTTTTTAAAAACGAACTTATTATAAAAACGATCGTTACGTTTTCGATTTTTCGTCGTCGTTTTCATAACCAAATGATCGTTTTTCAAAAAAATAAAAACGTTAACATGCCTACACAAACATAACAATCTTGGCATTTGAGGCGCTTTTTTTTCTTTGTGCAGCATACTGTTCATACATCTTAAAATTCCGTGGACTTTTCTGTCATAAACCTGTCCTCGGAATATATATATACCTGTCCTTTGTCCTTGCTGTTCAGATTCCCCCTGTCCGCTGAATATATACCTGTCCTTTGTCCTTGCTGTTCAGATTCCCCCTGTCCTCTGTTTATATACCTGTCCTTTGTCCTTGCTGTTCAAACTTCCCCTGTCCTCTGAATATATACCTGACCTTTGTCCTTGCTGTTCAGATTCCCCCTGTTCTCTGAATATATACCTGTCCTTTGTCCTTGCTGTTCAGATTCCCCCTGTCCTCTGATTATATACCTGTCCTTTGTCCTTGCTGTTCAAATTCCCCCTGTTCTCTAAATATATACCTGTCCTTTGTCCTTGCTGTTCAGATTCCCCCTGTCCTCTGAANACTAAATCTAAATATATACCTGTCCTTTGTCCTTGCTGTTCAGATTCCCCCTGTCCTCTGATTATATACCTGTCCTTTGTCCTTGCTGTTCAAATTCCCCCTGTTCTCTAAATATATACCTGTCCTTTGTCCTTGCTGTTCAGATTCCCCCTGTCCTCTGAATATATACCTGTCCTTTGTCCTTGCTGTTCAAATTCCCCCTGTCCGTGTTCGCAATATTGAAAAGACGAATCATCTCGTCCTTAGCAATCTTCACATTCAGTCCCTTACACAGGTCCTTCACCTAAAACGGTATACAAGATTTAAAAAATTATACGAACAAACAGAGAGAAAAAAGAGATTACTACTTTATATAGCAACATATAACCGATAGTTTTTGTTAAAATGTATTAAAAAATAAGATAAAAAGGAAATTTTTTTTACATATTTTAAAACAAGAATAGTAATAAATCTCGAGTTTCAGTTGAATGTATACTCAAATTGAATCAAAGTTTACATTAAGATTAAATAATATTAAAGTATAGCTGAAAAGTCTTATACAGTTTAACCCAGTCATTTAATTTTTTTAATTAAATAATTATATGAAGCTCTTTAACACTGTTCCTGCATATTTATGGCATGGCTATTCATATTTATTTTTACAATTAATAATATTTAGGTATAATAGTAAAAAACCGATTGAAAACTTTTAAAAATGCTTTAAATACTCCGAAGTTCTGGGGTCTGAATCTATTTCATAGCAGTCTGAATCTATTTCATAATAGTCTGAATCTATTTCATACCAGTCTGAATCTATTTTATAGCAGTCTGAATCTATTTTATAGCAGCCTGAATCTATTTTATAGCAGTCTGATTCTATTTCATAATAGTCTGAATCTATTTCATAGCAGTCTGAATCTATTTCATAGCAGTCTGAATCTATTTCATAGCAGTCTGAATCTATTTCATAATAGTCTGAATCTATTTCATAGCAGTCTGAATCTATTTCATACCAGTCTGAATCTATTTCATACCAGTCTGAATCTATTTAAAACATTTGAAAAATAATTCCTTATTTTTTATCCAAAAAAATTATAATTTTTAATGCCAGTTTCTCAATAATAGTGGCTAGTGTGGAGAAAGGTTAAAAACTAAAGGGCTATGTTACGTAAATCGAAAATGTAACTTTTTATATGAAGGATTACTTACAATTACTTGTACAATCACTTTAAAAAGTTTAAACTAAATAATTATTTAGTACATTATAAATTAAACAAAGAAAATGTACAGTAAGACCCTGGAAGACGACTTTTAGAAACAATTTTCACTTATTTCACTTAATTAGTGATTTAATAAGTGTCTAGTATATCTACTTTGTAACACCATCAAATACAGTTTAGTATTGCTATAAAGTCGTCTTCCTATTTCACTATATTGCTATAAAGTCGTCTTCCAATTTCACTGTATTACCTCATCTAGGTTTAGATACCCACTTTCATTCTCATCAGCTTTCCTGAAGAAAAAAGTAACAAAATTATTTTCAAAAAAAAGGAAATTTAATCCCGTTGTGGGGATAAATATAAATATTTAAAATTGTTTACATTGGACATCGAGATGAAGCGTTTAAGATTAACAATATCCACCACCAAAAGGTCTGATCGTTGAAAAACTAATTTTGAAGCTGGTGTCGCTGACTTTTGGAGAAAATAAACATTTACGTTGGGGAACCCGGAACATGAACAAATTTTAGACGAAAAAGTATCAAATTTTAAAATTTTAACATTTTAATTAAAGTTTAAACAATAATTTTAACTTTTGCGAGTATTCAAATCGGAAACGCCCAATTACCATCAAACACAAAATGAAAAACTGAAAAAGAAAAAAAAAGATTTTTTGATAATTTTAAAGGAAGACGACATTTGAATAAAATTTTTTTTGCGTTTTCCCCCTTTAAGAATACAAATTTTAGAACTAAGCTCGCACTTATGTATGTAAATTAATAATTTTAAATGTTTTAAAATAGGTTTTGATGTCTAAACACATAGGAGCCTGTAGGCTCTCCAGTCTCCATGAGATGGAATTGTCCTTATGCACGACACCGGCCTGGGGGGGGGACTTTAAGAATAGAATGGAAAATAATAAAAATACCTTAACCGAAACTTCAGATAAAGTTCGTATTCTTTCTGATGAATAAACTGTTGAGGGTTAAAACATTAATCTTAATCGAACATCACCCGGGAGAGGGAGGGAACCCTCGGACGCCATGAACCTGCGCTATGCAGACACGAGCCTCCCAGATTTGCTAGGCAGACCGAGCCTCCGCTATGCAGAAATGCTCATGCGCAATACATCAAAATGTCCCTGTGTGTGTATTACAGGAGGTTTTTATAACTTGTGTTTGAGTTAAAATTTTTCGACATAGTGGCACGTGAGGTTTCTCAAAGATGAGAAGTATTTATCAATTATCATAAATAGTGCCTAATTATGATTAACAAAATGGTATATAAAACTTTTAAACATTTTTTACATGAAAACAAAAATATTTCCAGAAAAAAAATTGCAATTGAATTTTATATCATCTTTTATAATCTTTGATTTAAGCAATACCTTTTTTGTAGCTAAAATTAAATCTAGACAATTTGTATCATTTATTTAAATCTTAACATTTTTAATAAAAGGTATTGTATAAAACAAAGATTACAACAAAACAAACTAAGTTTACTCCAGAAATATTTCTCCAATTATCTTCCTTTCTGGGAAAAAATGTTTAAAGTTTCAGTAAAAATCTTATGAACCACTTTATGAGTCCATATATGTTTCTAATCATGACAATCATTAAATAACTATAATCTATAGTAAAATTCTTATGCCTCTATGTCAATAAATATTGTAAAAATTTTTCTTTACACATAAATACCAAGAATTAAAAAAGCTGTGCTGTATGGCGGAGGCTCATTTACTGCATAGCGGAGACATGGTCCGCATAACGGAGGCTTGGTCTGCATAGTGGAGGTTTGGTCTACCTGGCAAATCTGGGAGGCTCGGGTCTGCAAAGCGGAGGCTCATGGCGTCCGAGGGTTCCCTCCCTCCCCCGGGTGATGTTCCATTAAGATTAATGCATAGCCGAGGCTTGGTCTGCATAGTGGAGGTTCGGTCTACCTAGCAAATCTGGGAGGCTCGTGTCTGCATAGCCGAGGCTCATGACGTCCAGGGGTTCCCTCCTGGAGGGAGGAAGGGGGGGGGTTGAAATAATTTTTAAAAAAAATATTACCTAAACGCTGTCTTGAGATAAAGCTCGTATTCCTTCTGATGAGATAAACTGTTAAGGGTTAATACTAGATGGGATATCGCATCTACCCATGCACTTCGGGTCACCTTAACATAATGTTCATTGTAATTAAATATGTACCCATGTACTTCGGGTCTCCTTAACATAATGTTCATTGTAACTAAATATGTACCCAGACAATTCGGGTCTCCTTAACATAATGTTCATTGTAATTAAATATGTACCCAGACAATTCGGGTCTCCTTAACATAATGTTCATTGTAATTAAATATGTACCCAGGCACTTCGGGTCTCCTTAACATAATGTTCATTGTAACTAAATATGTACCCATGTACTTCGGGTCTCCTTAACATAATGTTCATTGTAACTAAATATGTACCCATGTACTTTGAGTCTCCTTAACATAATGTTCATTGTAACTAAATATGTACCCATGTACTTCGGGTCTCCTTAACATAATGTTCGTTGTAACTAAATATGTACCCAGGCACTTCGGGTTTCCTTAACATAATGTTCATTGTAACTATATATGTACCCAGGTACTTGGAGTCTCCTTAGCATAATGTTCATTGTAACTAAATATATACCCATGTACTTCGGGTCTCCTTAACATAATGTTCATTGTAATTAAATATGTACCCAGACAATTCGGGTCTCCTTAACATAATGTTCATTGTAATTAAATATGTACCCAGGCACTTTGGGTCTCCTTAACATAATGTTCATTGTAACTAAATATGTACCCAGGCACTTTGGGTCTCCTTAACATAATGTTCATTGTAACTAAATATTTGTACCCAGGCACTTCGGGTCTCCTTAACATAATGTTCATTGTAACTAAATATATACCCATGTACTTCGGGTCTCCTTAACATAATGTTCATTGTAATTAAATATATGTACCCAGGCACTTCGGGTCTCCTTAACATAATATTCATTGTAATTAAATATATGTACCCAGGCACTTTGTGTCTCCTTAACATAATGTTCATTGTAACTATATATGTACCCAGGCACTTCGGGTCTCCTTAACATATTGTTCATTGTAACTAAATATATGTACCCAGGCACTTCTTGTCATCATGATCATTATGACTAAATATATGTTCAATATATCTAACATTGTATTTATTGCATCTACCAAGCTCATAAACATCATTTTAAATATAACTAAATATATGCTCAATAATATCAAACATTATATTTATTGCATTTACCAAGACACTTCTCGTCATCATGATATTTATATATACAGTCATCGTCGCATATAACACTACAATGAAGACGACTTTTGATTTAAATTTTGATTTATATCAAGCTTTTAAACAGTGAACCTGGAAACAAAGAGAAGATGTCCATCAAAAAATCTTCTTTTTAATAATGTGTAAACTTGTAATTCGAAAAAAGCGAACCAGTGGCGGACATAAGGGGGGTTATTGGGGTTATTTACCCCCCCCCCC